CCATGCATGCGGCTGCGACCTCGTCCATGGGCACGGTGACGCTGCTGTTGGTGCTGAGCCAGCGGGCCCAGGCCAAGGCGGCAAACTCGAGCGACGATCTGAATGAGGCCAGCATGGAAGCGACTGCCTCGTGGCTGGTGTGGCTAGTGTGGCTGGGGCCTACAGGACATGTGTAAGAACCAGAAGGTGGGAGAGAGGGAGAGGGTGGACTGGGCATAATGAGTGAGAGAATCAGCGGATGGCGTGAGTTTAAAAAAGTGGTATGATATCCCACCAGCCTGTTGTCAGTGAATGCTAGAAAAATAGATGGAGCCAAAGCGGATATTCCGGACGCAAGAAGGAAAGGGGAGGGGAGGGGGTTAAGAAGCGAGGCGAGGCGAGGGAAGAGAAGAGAAGAGCAGAGAAGCGCAATCAGAGCAAATGGCCTCCTTCCACAGCATACACACACATGCACACACACGCACACACACATGCGCACAGAATGGCGAGATAAACAACAAAAGAAGACAACGCGGCGCCACAGAGGGATCCGCCATGGCTTAACAACGTCGATGGCGCTTACCTTTGTCGTCCTCGCTGCGCTGCTGCGACAGCCGGCGCTGCGTAGCGCACTTAATCTTTGCGGCCTCGACAAGCTCCCGGCGGCGGCGCAGATCGTCATTGGGCGAGGCCGCCGACGCCGACGCCGAGCGGCGCAACTCGGCAGGCTGCTCTGGCGCGGGCGCAGGTGCAGGCTCGACGCTTTTGCTGTGCGACACAGTCTGGCGCACAACGCCGGTGGTCAGCACCTCGTCGGTTGTAGCGCCCGCAGGCACGGGTCTGCCGCGGCGGCCAGGCATCCAGCCGTTGGTCGCCACAAAGTCCTCGCGCCAGCCCTTGCCGTACAGTGCGTCGGGAGTCGTCACGACGATGTCAAAGTCGCGCGTCCGCAGCCTAGCATCCTTGGCAGAGCCACACGGTGGTGATGCTTCTGCTGCCGCTGTTGCAGCGCTGGCGTCGGCGCATGTGGGGGTGCTGGGCGTTGGCAGGTCGATGATTGTCGGCTCCAGTTTTGGCTCTGGCTCTGGCTCTGGCTCTGCACGCTGCGGTGACGAGCGATCGGCGCAGCTGCTGTCTTCTGGATCGCGCTTGACGGTGACAACAGACTCACTCTTGCCCGTGCCAGCGGTGTGCTGTGTGTTGGTGTCGGCCGACATGGCCCTGTGCGATGGCTGATGCGGGAGCTGTGGTACACGGAGTGTGTGGCAGTGGGGTGTTGGTAAAGAGAAATAAATAAGGGCAGCAGAAAAAGAAAAGAAACAAGGGCAACAAACAACAGGAGAAAATGAGTAAATGAGCAAATGAGTAACGAGTAGAGAGGAGAGAGGAAAAGTTGAGCGGTTGCGAGAGCGCCGGACCATTGAGCACCAGGCATTGAGCATTGAGCGACGCGTGCAGGCGAGAACTGCAAGCTGCAAAGTTTTCAGCGCTGCCAAAAATGGGGGGGGTGTGGGCGAATCAGGCGATTTGGTGGCGGCTACTGAGCAAACGAGCTTGATTCGAGGGCCATCAGCAGCTGCGTCACCGCAGGCAGCAGCAACCGCACGGACCGCTGCTTGGCGCGCCCGTGTGCTTGCCTGTGCGCAGGCGGCTCCAGCGCCACGCCCACGAGCCCGAGGAGCTGCTCAATGTCCGCCGCCAGCAGCCGCGCCGCCGCCAGCATGCGCGCGCGGTCGGCCACGCGCACGGCAAACAGCGGCCACCACTCGGGCGCGCCGCCGTCGACACTCGCCACGCACACAGCCGAGCGCGATGCGCGCGCCACCACCGGAAACCGCAGAGGCGCTGCCAGGTACCTGGCTGCCGTGTCGACAACACGCACCACGACGCCCAGCGCCGCCGCCGCCTCCTCTGCCTCGCCGCCGCTCACGCGCAGCCCGCTGATCGTCCAGTCCGCCTCATCGACAGCCATCGCCACCGGAAACGCCGCCGCCAGGTCTGCCGCCACGCGCGCCCGCTGCCGAGCCAGCATTGCGCGCAGATCCTCAAAGATGATGCGGTCCTGCCGCAGCACCACCGCCGCACGCCCCACGCGCTCGTGCACGCGCTGCGTCTCGGCCGTCCCAGCATCCACCGCCTGCTGTGCGCCGATTCGCGCGCCCGCCAGTGCCTCTGCCAGCGACGACGCTGCCTCGACGCGCGCCGCCTGCCGCTGTAGCACGCACTTTTGACGCTCGACCTGCTGTCGCCGCGCCTCCACCTGCTGCCGCAGCCGCGTCACCCGCGCAATGCGCTGCAGCGCCGCCTGGGCCGCCTCCCGCGCCGAGCGGACGCCATGTCGCCGGTCGCCGAGCACCCTTTCCAGCGTGCAGAGCCTATTAGGGAAGAAAGCATTGTGTTGGGACAGAAGTCGATGGAGAGTATGTGGGGCTGTCAGTTCAGTGTGCGTATCCTCCTCTGGGCTCATTCTTTGCTGTCTCTGGACAGAGACACGGTGGTGCAGTATCAATCTGTTGCTTACTCGCTGAGCTGCTCAAACGAATATGCCCTGACAGCGACGGTGGCCTCGCTGCTCTCTAGAAGCGTCTCTGGACTAAGCGGCTCCGTGCCACCGCTGCGCGTCGGTGCATTTGCTGGGAGAATCGTCGGTGCCGCCATTTGTAGTTGCCAAAGCGCAAAGGCGGTCGATTCACAAGTATAGAGAAGAAAGGGTACAGGCACGGGTGCGAGAGCAATTGGGAATTTTGATTTAAAAAATAAAAAAAGCTACGCAAGGAAAGAAGCGTAACAAAGAGGGGAAAGGGGGAGTAGCAGCAAAGACGCTGGTAAAGACAGTGGTAGCGGAGAAGAGGGACAAGCTCAGGGATGCATACATACATACACGCAACGCAAGCTTGCTAATTGAAAGTCAGCGCTGAAGCCGCAGGCACCAAACCAACAGCTCCACACACCTCCCTCTGCATTCTCCTTCTCCTTCTGCCCGGCTCAGATCAAATCGGATCGGATCGGATTGGATTGGATCACTCCTTGATTGTGACACGCGCCTGGCCGGCGTTCTGCACCGCCTGCTGCTGCGCGATCAGCTTGGCGTTGGTGACCACGGGCTGCAGGCTCTCCAGCGACGCCTTCCACTGGTCCAGCCGCGTCGCCAGCAGCTGCCACTGCGCCGGGCCAAAGCTGCGGTACGTCGACCGCGTCGGCAGCACCGTGCGCGCAACCTGGTTCATCTTGCCCTGCATCAGCCCAGCGCGGATGACGTCGATGATCCACAGCTCGACCTCGTCCTCCTCCACGGCAATCGCGCGCGCAACGTCGCTAAACGGCACGTCCTGTCCCAGCCGCTCCGCCGCCAGCGACGCCACCGTCAGCAGCCGCATCTTGTCAGCCGCCCGCTCGGCGTCGACACCCAGCGCCTTGAGCTGGTCGCCCCGCTCCGCCACAAACGCCTGCCACTGCGCAAAGTCGCTCGACAGCAGCGCGTCCAGCAGCGCACCACTCTCGCCCAGCGCACCGCTGCGGCTCAGCTCACGCACCGCAGGCAGGCCCGCCAGCGCGTCGATGTCGCACACCGCCGCCAGGTTGGCAAACCGGACCACCGCGCTCGACGCGACCGCCGCCGCCTCGCTGTGCTTGCAGCCCACCGCCTCGAGGAACGCAAGCTCCACCGAATACGCCTCGTTGCTCAGCCCTGCCGCGTCCAGCGCCGCACGCAGCGCCAAAAGCACACGCCCCTGCTCCTCAGCACCAACTCCCCACTCGCCGAGCAGCGAGCCGAGCCGCGATACCTGCGGCACCAGCACGCTCAGCAGCTTGCTGCGCGCCGCCGCGCTGACCATGCTCTCAAACACCGCTGCGCGCGCAGACCCAGCCGCACCCAGCGCCGCCAGCAGGTTGTACAGGTTGTTCAGCACCCGCAGAGCGCCAACGCCGCTGCCGTGCGCCGCCAGGTCCTCGGCAATAGCCGGTGTCGCCGCCGCCAGACTGGCCGCCCGTCCGCTCTCCTCCGCACCCGCAACCACCACAAACAGCTGGCTGTACACCGCCTCCAGCTTCTCCTCGGGCGCCCCCGCCAGCACGCCGCCCAGGCACGCCTGCAGCACCGCCTCGCTCGACGAGCCAACCCCCGCCACAAACTCGCTCACATTGCTCTCGCCCTTCAGCCCGGCAACGTACCGCGCCAGATCCTCAATCTGGGACGAGCCCTCTGTGTCTACGAAAATCACGTTCTGTACGGTCATCCTTTGCGCAAGCTATAGTCTGTATGCCCAATCTAATCTGCCTGGTGCAAATGTCTTTTTTTACAATAGAAGAGGTGCCTAAGCAATTTCAGAGTAAATGAAAGGGCAAATGAATAATTAAAGCAGGTAGCTTACAAGAGCCCCTCTCTTCCTCATTCTGCGAAATTCGCCTCTGCTCTCCCCCCCAAAGCAAAAAGGAGCGCTTCTCCTCTCATTCAAAGACTACAAAAATTTTTCACACTCTGCCCCCTGATTGGACGCACGTGATCTAATTATATCTCTTTTTGCAGAGCAAACCAGCGCGTGCACGACGGATGATATATCCCTCCTCTCTATAAAGCTTGGCTGGCTGGTGGAGCATATCACAACGCCTTTTGTGCCGCAGCACCTTGCCATAAATGCGTACTCTGGGCACAGGATAATGACAACAATAATTCTGTATATATTGTTATTGGCGCCTTGCGCTCTTTGCTTCTAGAACCAGACAAATGCTAGAGAGCGCAAAGGGATCCGGATACACGTTTCATTCCTTCTTTGACGCAAAAAGGCTAGATTTATTCATGCAGCGATACAGCACCACCGCTCTGCTCCTGCAGAGCTGCGATTCAGTAGACAGCCAGCTGCACTCTTCCAGAAGATACTCGCTTTCTTATCTAGACCGCCGACCATGATGCACTGGTTGAAATGAATCGCGCTGAAATAATGAGACTGCTGGGGCATGCTATTATTACAAAGATGCCGCTAAGGACCGCTACCTTTCGCAAGCGCTCAAAAAATAAAATTGCCCCTTTAGCTCAGTGGAAGAGCGTCACTCTCCTATGTCATCGTAAGATGGCTGCGTGCAAAGTGGATGCCTGGGTTCGATCCCCAGAAGGGGCTTTTATCTTTTTTATTTTTCATGCACTTTTCTTCAGCGTATTCTTTTTCAGCCAATATTTTTACTTGGCAAATTCAAAAATAAAAATTAAAAATGTTCCGCAACGGGGAATCGAACCCCGGCCACGACGGTGAGAGCGTCGGATCCTAGCCACTGGACCATTGCGGATTATGATCACCAACTGCTTCGATCATCGATTTCTGATTTTTGGCAGTAATCGCATCACTAACAACATATTATTCACAAGCCGATCTGTATGTGCCAACCCCATACGTAGAGCTTTTAGCAACTCGGGTTGATAGTCAAATAGTGCGATTATCGGCTGTATTGCCTTCATCGAACATTATGTGCGTGCGGTATTACACATGCATCATGCATCTATTTAGTTGATTCTTTTTTCCACGTTTTCTTCCAGCTGTATAGTGGTTCTGTATCCCTGTTGATCTTTTTTCTTTTCTACAGTTTTGACGTTTGTTTAAACATCCATCTAGTATAGCCTACATAGCTAGCCACCTTACATATCCCTCTCCCTCTTGCAAAGCGTGCCTATGAGAAAGTCGGCGGGGAAGGTTGCTAAAAAGACAATTGTTGGGCCCAAGCCCGCGGCTGGCATGGCGACACCATCGGCGCTCACTCCACCACAAAGGCCGCTAGGATCAACATTGGCAAACAGCATCAACGCCAACACCAACAAAGCAAACACCACTTTACCATCTGTAAACAAAATTGAGGGCTTTGGCGACGGCGATGATGATGCAGACGGAGATACAAAGAATGCGGGAAAATCTATAGTCGGGGTTGTGTTATCAATTCAGGGCGAGCAAGGCGATACTATTGTGAGCCAGGAGGAAGTGAATGCCAAAAAGCCGCTGGTGATTCCCGTCAAGCGCAATGCCAACTGGATGGAAAAGGCTAGAAAGACTCGGACAGCAAGCAGTGGCAGCAGCACACAAAAGCAAGGCGACGCTCTTGAAAACAGCAATGTGAGAGAAGAGAAAACGGCAGATAATGAAGATAGTCCAGACCAGCCTGCTTCTACATCTAAATCTACATCTGCGTCGCTACGGCAAGAGGCTATAGATGCACTACTGCACGGAGATGACAAGCCCAAGAAAGGCGATTTGGTTATACCACTGCCCTCAAAAGACAACAATGACGACAACGACAACAGCGGCAGTGACTATTATTCAGACGACGTCGACGACGCAGCGTACGAGCGCGTGCCTGTGGAGGACTTTGGAGCAGCCATGCTGCGTGGAATGGGGTGGAAGGGCGACGATGACAAAAATAGCAAAGACGCCGCCGAATTCAAGCCCCGACCGAGCCTGCTTGGTCTTGGTGCCAAGCCGCGGCCAGAAGACACAACGCCCGCCAACAATAATAGACCAAAGCGGTATTGACAAGACGACCTGTAAAGACTGTGGACAAGACGACTTGTAAAAACTGTGTGGTGTGGTATTTCTCTAGCGTTTATTTGCGTATATATTTGCGGCAATAATAAATTAAGGTAAAAGTCTGAAAGTATTAAATAATAAATCAAGAAAGATGCGTGTACTTGTAAATATGTGTGTGCTGTGCGCTTACACAAGCGACCACCAAATCAAATCAGCCTTTATAGTCAGCCCATTGACTTTCTTTCTCTCTCTGTAGGCGTGTGCACTTGGCAAAGGATACTTTGTGTCAGATAGACACGCAGATCTTGCCAATTCAATGCAGCTTTACCCTACTTGTTAGTGGAGAGCGTTGGCGTACTTGAGCATCTTTGTAGAGAGGAGAATGAGCGCAATAAGAGCCTCGTTGACCTTGATCAGGAAAGTGACCGTACCCTTGACCTTGTAGTCTCGCGACATGCCAATGTACTGCGCAACGATCTGGCCCTTGTCGTCTTCAAGCTTCCAGCAGTTCTGCATCATACCAGCCAGCCAGTCGTAGCGCTTGCCTTCAAAGTCGATAAAGGCCCAGGTGGATTTTGTGCCATCAAAACCTCCGCTGGTCAGCTTGCCCTGGTAGTTGAACTGCGCCAGATCCTTGCGCTGGCCTTCCATCCGGGCAGTCATGACCGAGGTACCGGAGCGACCCGTACACATGGTGTAGTCCCTGTCGCCGGTGCTTCGCATGGTCCACACGGGCTCCAATTCGTCTGCCTGGGAGCTGCTTTCCAACATGCCCGGGTAGATGAACGTGCGCTTGCTAAAGATGTACGACTCGTTGACGTAAGTGAAGGAGATGGTCATGGCAAATATTGTTGGATCTAGTCGTCAAAAGTTGATGTAGAAGAGGAAATAAACAAAAGAAATATAAGATTATATAGAAAGAGATATAGACAGCGGAGATGTTTATAGTACGAATTAAATGAATACAAAGAAGAAAAGAGAAAGGCAGGCAGAACCCATGTCTGATGGGCGTGAAAGATTGGTGTTTTATATGCAAACCATTTGCAGCTTGAATGGATCCTAGAAACAAAGACCCTTTGGAAACCGTCTGTAAACAAGCGCTGTTTTTTCTTTTTCTTTTTGGCATCCATGCCTATACTGGTTATAGCGCGGTTGTTGTTTTGATAAGCGTGCTTAGAAATTCATCGACACTCTTTAGATGCATGCATAAGCTGCTTCAGAGAAAGAACCCTTGTGCGCACCCCCTTTTTACTTTGTCATATTCAATGTCCGTAATTATGTACTCTGGGACTACTCATCAAATGTGGAGAACAGTATTGCACAGGTAGACATAAAATCATTGCGATGAACAGAACAAAAAAGAGATGCAGCAGCTAATTATTAACCCGACAATCCCTTTTTTTTTTAGCGAAAAACAACCCACCACCACAACCACAACCACGATTACATTATATGTAAGGTGGACCCAGAAATGGGATGAGCGTGAAAGTGAGATGGGTGGTATGTATCAAAGAGGGAGAATAGCCTGCAAAAAACTAATGAGAAAACTATTGAGGACAGACGCAGGACAGCTTGTCGTCTCCCGGAATAGGGGGTTTCCATATTAAAAAAAGCATTAGCCGCTACTCTTGCCAGCACCCATTCTGCCTTGCAATATATTTTTTATGGGGAGAAAGAGAGGGACAAAGATACAGAGATGTATATTTTGTGTATTCTTTTCAATCATACAGCCTTGTGGATTCAAGGGACATGTTCTTATTATTGATGATTTTCTCGCATTTCAAGTTTTGCCGCCTTTATATTTTATCCTGAAGCGGCCCTCCAAGACAGTGTGGATAAAAAAAACCACAACAAAGCAGAAACAAATAAAAATAGTATCTGCACAGAAAACACAAAAATTGATGTTCGGATTTCGATAGGCGGAGCAGGGCACCACTACAGACGTGCAATTATATGTCAATCTTTATAAAGACACAGCATATTGAGCAACCAGCTATGTTGCTAAAAAGAGAAGGAGAAAAAAAACGTGCTTGGGATTGACTCCAAATAATGCATGCCGACTCGAATACCGAAATGCACAAAAGGCAGATGGGGGGGTGTGTTTAACTGTAAAAGAAAGCCAGAGTCTTTCTGTCTAAACAGTCCTGCATTGCTGTTTTTCTATTTGCAATGAAGCTCTCATTGAGCGATATAGATAGATAAATAGATAGATAGATAGATAGATAGATAGATAGGCAATGCTGAGTACTTTTTTGCTTGCCTGCTTGTGGTCAAACAAGGGGATTTTGAAAATCAAACGACTGAGAGCCTTGCATGTTTACACTAGCAGAGACAAAAGCAGTCCCCACACCTTGCTGTGCACATATCGCCAGTAATTGCGCTAATAAACGGCTAGACTCGGAAACAAAACACTAAACGCACCGCCGGCTACAGCCGGCTATCCAGATAGCGCGTATTACCTAAACATGTGTGATCAAGATAATATGTATGCATATCCCTAGGTCTCGTTGCTCAGGTATCGGAGGAGGGACAACAGGAATATACCCTGAAAACAGCATTGCTTTCCCCACCAGCAGTGACCCCACAAAAAGAAGGACAGAGCAGAGCAGAGCAGAGCAGACCAAAACAGGACTGTGTCAACCATGCCAACAAAACACGTTTTTGATTGACTTGTTTGCAAAAAACGTGCCTGACCTTAAAAATTACAAAAGCACACACGCACGCACATACACACACAATTACTTACATACACACTTTGAACTAATAATAAAAAACAGGTCACTGAACAAACATAGCCGATGAATGGAAAGTGCCAGATAGAACAGCAAGGACAACACATGCCATGGGCTGATAACAAATTCAAACGGCGACACTGCAATACAAAGTGAAAAAATCAAAAGGCAATCAACAAACACATTAGACAATATTTCAAAAGTAGAAAACTAAATAAAAAACAAGAAAGTAGCATGCGTTATGTCTTCTTTGTCCGCTTGGATGACCGAGTCGCAGACTTGGGGGACTTTGCCTTGCGTGTCGACGCAGGCGGCGTTGAAGCCAAAGCAGCAGCCGTGCCCTTTCTCTTTGTAGCAGCCAAAGAGACGGGCGGTGCTGGAATTCCGCTGCGCTGCTTATGCAAAGGCCTTGCCCCAGCAACCGAAGAAGAGCCAGAGGCAGAGGCAGAGGCAGAAACAGGGTTGGCTGCGGACAAACTAGATGTGCTTGGGCCTGGCGCTTTCTTTTCTGTCTGCACAACCGATGAGCGCCGGCGAGTCATAGGCGGTCCCCGCTCCAGACTAGCCTGAGGTATCCCAGACCCACCGCCTACTGAGGCAACAGCAACAGCAGCGGCAGTATTAGTAGTAGTAGTAGTAGTAGCAGCAGCATTAGCGGCAGCGGTGGTGGCAGTGCCCCGTCTAGACGCTGCCAAGGACGTGGATGCAGAGGCTGCCTGCGTCTTCTTCTGCATATGCAATGCGGTATTAGATGCAGATTTCTTTACTACTCCGCGTGTAGACAATCTCCTGTGAGCGCTATTGCTGATGCTGCTGCTGTTGCTTGCAGCGCGCGATTGGGGTCGGCCAGGTGGTGGTATTGCAGATAAGCGAGAT